TGACTGGCCATTCTTTTTCTGCCCCTTTCTCTTTTCTCTTATCCAATTGCCAAAATTTCCCTCCTACCTTTTATTCCTTAATTCTGAAACTTCCAGCCTCCTGCAGTATTTCATCTTTTCAGTCCTTTTCCATCCTTTTTAGACATCATTATGGCTTTTCAGATATCAGTGCTTTTCAGGTCTTGAATAAGGTGGCACATAAATTCTAGGTATAAACTGGAAAGTAAATGTGATGTTCATTTTTGATGGATCTTCTACTCTTTCCCCTATTTAGAAGTATTTTCTGTAACTTCTTTACTTCTTTGAATATGTCGTGATTTACTGATGACTAATACTGAAAGGCAAGGTTTCTTCACTTTCTCTGAATGAAGAGGTAAAAATGGAGGCAGTCTCTTTTACACTAAGGTGTACAGTAAGGTTGTTTTCATGAAAAACATGAAAACTATGCAAAGCACTGTAAAACCTAATAATCATTTCAAGAGGGGTTATTTTAAAGAAGAGAGTTCAAAAGAGTTGCTCCGGTTTAAACAGTTCTCCTATTCTCTTCTTTCTTCGTAACACTTCACTGGATACTTGGGATGAGGAGTGCCCATTTCCTGACAGGATTATTCTTCAAAACTTTAGTTGTTGTTTTCAGGAATATACTTTTCATGGCAAGTACTGAAATTTCCAGCTGGGGGTTCTCTTGCCAGATGTGATTCTTGTTTAGCATTGCAACTTTAGTAGTTGTCCTTGGTCACTCCTTAAGCCTTAACTGCTTCTCGAGTAAAACACTGCCCTAGATGGACAAGCAAAAGCAAGAGCCAAGCTGACTTTCTTTGCTGCTCCTCTGTCCCTCTCCTGGTCTAAAAGCACTATTGATGGCATGAGAAGTTCTGCTGTGAGAGGGTTAATGTGAATCCCCACAGTCTCAACAAATTAACACAGTTTCCCTAACATAAGAATCATAAATGCCCTGGACATGTTCTCATAAACAAGTGGACGAGAATTCTTCGGTACATCTCAAATTAAGAATGGCAACACTTCAGCTCATGGCAGCAGCCCTTCTTTAAGTTCCTGTTTTTAAAAGTGACATAAATGTCTGCCACGAAGGGTAACTGCTAATAACAAAAAAAAGAAGGTTGCCTCTCTTACCATCTCTTGGGAGATGATGGTAAGAAAGCAGGCTATATTATTTGCTGGTATTTTCCTTTAATGTTTGCGGTTCGTAAGACTTGTATATTCTAATATACCAGTGTGCAGAAATTAGTCACTGAAAGCCAGCTTAAAATTCTGTCTCCTAGTGAAAGTTTTTCAGTGATTCCCATTTTCAAACATGTTTTCAAAAATCAACACACTAGGGTAACTAAGTAACTAAGAAACAACTAAGCTCTTTTACCTCTTTTCATTTGCACTACAAGCCTTTAAATATACTCAACAAGCATGCCATTTTGCAAGTACCTTATTTTCTTTCCACAGAATGTCAAAAGCACTGCAGGCAGTGCAGCTATGGAATATAATTGATATGGATGTTCTCCTGAGACTGTTTTTGTTGTTACATTTCAAGGGAAAGGCTCTTGAGATTTTATATGAAAAACAAATACATATGCCTTTTGCAATTTGTTGTAGCTGAAAATAAAATATTTTTCTACTAAAATGTTAGTATGTTTCCTGGAATCACTGAGCTTTCAATAACATTTTTAGTTAATATTCTGCAGCTTCCTGTGGTATTCACCACAGCTAACTTGAGCTCAGGGAGTTCAATTTCAGTTATTTGTAGGGAGGACTCTCTGGGTGTGCCCTGCAGTCATCAGGGATGTCGAGAAGGGATGTCCAGACCATAGCTCAAGGAGCACAGGGCAGGGTCCCACCCTGAATTGTACCTGCCACAGCTTTTCTCTGTTGGACACCAGAAGTACTGCAAAACAGGGTTCCTCCGAGTGGAGATAACCTTTAGGAAACTCAGACTCATATTTTCTTTCATTATCCATCCTTTTCCTTCACTGGCTAGTAGCTTGATGAAACCTACTGTTGGAAGTCCTGCTTCCCACTGCTTCATGTGATGTTTGGAAGTTGTGTGTGCTGATTAGGGCATTCATTTTTCTACTGCAAAAATACAAATCTCTTTGTGTCAAGGGGGTTGAAACATAAAGCAACCTAATGAGAATAAACATCCTGCATCACCTTTTGCCTTTTTAGTTAGTGGGTGGCGAGGAGAAGATGCTCCAATTAAAAGTCAAAGTTTTTAAATAGACTGGTTCTAATTTTGTGCTCCATTACACACTTTTTCACACACCTTGTTCAAACTCCACAGGGCCTCTTGGTCACTTCCTTGTTAGCTGATAACAAGTAATAAGAATGCAAAGGGCATGTGGCATCAGGTTTGTGTAACAGACAGTAGCTCAGTGTTTGGTTTGGTGATTTTTTAGTTATGTGTGTGGAATAATTTGGTTGAGGAGGTTAACTGTTTTCAATGTAACTATTAACTCTTAGAGTTTTGAAACAGTAATTACACATTAAAGATAATAGCTATGTCAGCAGTTAGTGGTAGTATTGGAGGTAACCTTACTGTTAGCAATATTTACAACAGGAAATAACTGTTTGTCTTTATTTGTCAGTAAACATTGACTTTTAAATGAAAGAGTAAGTATTGATTTCTGTGGGCTCAAGAAATACTTTAATGTTTATTTTCCCCTGTGTTTCTGAATGAGGTAAAGTTGAACCTGATGAAGTAGGTGTTCCAGGATTAGATTTATTATTTGGGTCTGTAAAAATTCTTGAAAATGTGTTTCTTACCAAACCGATTTCAGCTCTCCATTTTACTAATTGTGGAAGGAAGTTTTCATTATTGGAAAAATAAGGAGACTTACCCTCACTGTTTCAGAGAAGCGCTCTCAAAATGAAGAAGTGGGATGCTCATCAGAGGTAGGAGGTGTAATCAGACTGAATCTCCACACAGACTTCTAGGGGTTGTTTTGCAACCAGTATCTGCAAAATAAACTGCAGGATTCAGTTTGCAAACACTATTGCAAATCAAACCCTGCAAGGTTTGCAGGGCTCCAGTTACTATTATTGCTCTTAGTAAGGCTTATTATCCTGTCACAGAACTGTAAGAAAATCCATCTCTCCACTTTAAACATGATAAGCCTTTGTCACCTACAATGCAATTAATGTTAAAAATAGCAGAGAGTCTGTGATAAGATTGTGACTTGCAGGCAACGAGCCATTGTCCAATGCTGGAGACTTATCCAGAGGGGCAGCCAGCCTGCAAAGCTCTGTCAGCTTGCTGATTGCTGTTTCTCTCAGAGTTGGATGAAATATTCATGTCTTTGCTCTGCTCTCTGCAAGCACTATTGATTTCTTGTATAAACGCAGCTATATTTAGTCTAGACAAATGGAATGTGGATTGCTGCTGAATAAGTGGGATGAAAGGCAGGGCTTTTGCCTGTCCATTTCTCTTGGTCTGAGGCAATTATTTATAATCAAGAGCAGTTTTTGTAAGTTAAAGGTGATTTTTTATAATTTAGCGATTAATCTCAGAACAAAAGCAAGCACTTACACACAATCATTCTGTTGGGATAGCGGGTTAAGGAGGCAAATTATGCTCTGAGGTTTATAATAACAGTTACTAGGATTTAAAAAAAAAATAAATGCAAAAACAAACGCAGGAAATGTTATGTTTGCAGAATGTTGACAAGAAAAGAAAGAAAATAATGTGGTCAGTGAAACAGATTCAGTGCCTCACTTTTTTTTTTTTTTTTCTTTTCACTTTTTTTTTTAAATATCTGTTGTATATTTTGTGCTGGTAGATGTTATGGTGCAAATAGAATTCAGTTCTGTCCATTTACAATTTTCTCTGCAGCTCTACTGTTCCTATTTGCTAGACTTTTTCACCATCTCATTTTGGTTTTCTCCTTGGAAATAAATGCAGTTCCAACAGGAATAAAAGTAGAAAATGCATATACAGCATATTCCCTGTTTGTTTCCTGAAAGCATGCTTGTTTTCAGTTAATAATCTTATTTTTCTAATATAATAGTAGGAATTCGTTAATGTGTTTGTATTCCACTGTCCTCTAGTGGGTGGAATCAGAACTGCTAAGTGCTATCGCAGGCCCTGTGCTGTTTTCCTGTTGTAAAAATGATATTAGTTAGATTTTATTCTATTTCAACAGGTAGAGTTATGTTCTGTCTTGTCATTTAATATGAAAAGCTGGACTTTAGAAGTACCATGGTGAAAATCATCAGGTCTCTCTTTTTTGTTCTGCTTTTTAGTCCCTTCTATTTAAATCAGGAGATGAAAAACTGCAAGATTCTGCAGTAACTACTTTAATACTAGATTATAAGTATATACCATTATGGCAGCAAATTGAAATAATGTGTTTTGATTTTCTTGAAAGTTATGCAGAGGGTATTAGGCCTAATCCATTCCAAAGACAGTGGTCACTTTTTGATGAAGCTTTATCGTAACTTCTCATCTTTTATGTCTAATTATTTTCCTATTTCATGTGACTCATTCCTGTGTGTTTGCTACAAAGCCAGATACATGCAATAGCTATTTATGCATAACACAATCCTTGGATAATCTACGTCCTAGCTTTCACTTTTTAGGGAAATCTCTTGCAACCCAGTGAGAACTACTGCCTTCATCTCACTTGAAGAAATGCCTCAAGTGTTTGTGGTTAAGCTGTCGTAGTACCTATGAGGTTCTCAATAAACACTGCTTCCCAAGGCTGTGACATTGTTTTAGACCTTGATTGCTTGTTGATCTATTTAGCAGAATATTAATCTGGAAATATTTTTGCAGAGAACAGAAACAGAATAATAAAATAATTTGGAAAATCTCAGGTTGCTAGTAGAAATATCAGATGGTTGCATACAGTATAGTTTGCATTCTTGTTGGCTCTGTAAACTGAGGGAGTCTATGAGTGAAACTGTCTTTTTTTCGTCAGTAAGAGTCATCTCTATTCTATTTCTCTGATTATATTTAAATGTAGATATGTTTTGTTGTTTTCTTTTCTCAGTGGATGTGAAGTCAGAGGTTCCTGTGGGATTAGAGCCTATCTCACCATTAGACTTACGAACTGATCTCAGGATGATGGTTCCCATGGTGGACCCAATTATGCGTGAAAAGCAGCTACAGCAGGAGCTACTTCTGATCCAGCAGCAGCAGCAAATTCAGAAACAACTGCTGATTGCAGAGTTTCAGAAACAGCATGAAAACCTGACCCGCCAGCACCAGGCCCAGCTCCAGGAGCACATAAAGGTAGCAACATTTCTCATTTATCCTTCGGTTTATTGCAAACTGTGTATGTTTAGGCAGACATGAAAAGAGAGTGTTCATGAAAGATTTGCTGTGTCTGAGAGATGGACAGTGAGTGTTTACTCCTATGTGTCTGAGTGATATAAGCCTTTTCAAGAAAAAAACATTACCAGCAAGTTGTACCTAGCAAACCAAGGTCGTATTATTAGACTCCCCAAGCTCATGAAGCTGCTAAATGCACTGAAAGTCAAAATACCAATTTCACAGTGTTATTTTTTCAGCCAGAATACAATATGGCTGTCTTCTCTGTGTGCACAATTCTCAGTATATGAAAAGACTTATTTATTTGGCTGCAATCTGAATTTGTGCCCACAAATCAGTGGACATGTATGTAATATTTGCATTTTAAATGAAGCTAGGGCCTACAGATATTTTCACTCTTCTGTGATCTGCCTCACATGACATTTAAACAAACAAACAAATAAATACATGTATGGGGTTGCATATGTTATGGTAGGATTGCTCTAATGGATTTTGGCTGGGAATTTATGTTCTTCCATTTAATTTTAATTTTTCTTTCTGATCTACTTGTCATTATACTACTTTGCAAAGCTTCTGCTGGCTGAAGCTGACAAATGCAACTGAATACAGCAGCCTCAGTTTGGTAATACTTTGGCAAAGACTATTATACAGTATTCATGCATTTTTGGCAAAACAGAAAGAAAAGAAAGCACAGCAGTCAGCTGCTACTTGATGTTAGAGTTCATTTTAGTGACAGCTGGTGATGCACTGTGCTGATAAAAAGTCTGGGGAAAGGCAGTTAAGAGATAAAAATAAGAGTAAGCACAAAAAAAAAGCACTAGTGCTCTGTTATTCAAGGGAGTTGTTTTGACCAGGACTGACATACAAAACACTGCAAGCTGCACATTCTCATGTCTTTTTGTTTTGTGCAAGTTACAACAGGAACTCCTAGCCATTAAACAGCAGCAAGAACTTCTCGAAAAAGAGCAGAAACTGGAGCAACAGAGACAAGAGCAGGAACTGGAGAGGCATCGCAGGGAACAGCAGCTTCCTCCCCTCAGAGGCAAAGAAAGAGTCCGAGAAAGTAAGTGCTAATGTACCCTGAATTCAAATACAAAATTAATATATTCCCCTTTATCTTCTCCCAGCTGAAGAGACCTGAAGCAAGTCTGTGACAGTTGAAGCTGTGCTTGCAGAAAGGCAGAACCACCTGTTGCACAAAACAACTCTGCTGTTTTGTGTGCAGATTTGGAGAACTGCAGGAAAGCATATTCTGACAGACTTGTAGATACGTGTCTCTTTTTATGAAATAGGAGGGAGTTTGAAAGCCTGAATCTTCACTTGAATTTCTCTCTGAAAAACTTATTTCCTAATACAGATATCACTACCAACCAGCAATCTATGTTAATAGTGAGGTTATTTGAGCATTTTTTCAAGACTGAAAATATTATGAAGTGTTTATGAGTATCTTCACCTGAGACATCTAAATACTTTTTTCTTAGTTACAAAGACAGTACTTCTTGAAACTGCCTTATATTTCTTCAGATACCTTTTCATGAGATCCGACAGGAAGTTATTTCTAGCTCATATGTAGCTCTGAGATAAATGACAAAAGATACTGTTGGAATTTGATGCTCACTAGAGGGAGACAGATACAAATAATTCACTTCAGTCAGGTCAGCTTAAAAGTCAGGTCATGAAGATACATTGTGAAGGTATTTAAAATGAAACTGCCACATGTAGATATTGGTATCTGCCCTTCTAATTAAGCAAGATTCTAACTAAATAAAGACCAAACAAGAAAAGAGTTGTACATAGTACTCATGGGAAACATATACTCCTGCTTTTTTTTCTTGGAAAACTGTATCAGTTCGATAGTTTGCCATACTGTAGACTTTATAAGTTAGTGTCCATAGGGCTTCCTTTACTTTGGTAAACATTGAATCATAAAAGCATCATATTGCTGTGATGATGTTAGTTTTACATTCTTTGGGGGAAACTGAGGAATACCTCCATTTCTTTGTCTATGGAATTCCTTTGTCTATGTTTTCTGGTAGTGCATTAACAGTCTGAGGTTGTTCCTTTAACCTTTTCATCCTAATCTAGATGGCTTACTTGCTCTCTGTAATATTAATAAATTATTTAAACCACCCAGAAGGAGAAGGGTAACAGAAACTCCAACCAAAAAAGGATCCTATTAGGGATATGAAAATCAGCATTCATATAAACAGTTTGACTTTATTCTCACACCAAAGATGAGCAGCTCAATGGTGCCTTTCTCCATTTGGCTTGCTCGTTACACTGCACCTAGCCAAGCAGCACTTATGACCCCCAGCCCTAGCATATGCTGCTACTGATCTGCTTAATGAGTAAAGGAGGGAAGGAAAGTACTAAGGGTGCCGTTAGGGTCTGAAGCTGAGGGGTAATAGAAGTGCTTTATGGGAATCAGGTCACAGGGAGACGTGCGCACTGGCTAACTATGCTGTTGGGTAACCAAATACTTAGAGTATCAGTATTCCTGAGTACGGCTACTTTCAGAGAATCACTTCTCTTCCTTCTCTTTTTTATCACTGTTTGGGGAAAACGGAAAGATTTTTTTTTTTTTTCTTTTATGTTCTATTTACAAAGAATATTATGGCTATGAGTAAGAAAGCATTCCCCATGTTGGAAGAGGGAATCAGTTTACTTGACATTGACATGCACTGCCCTACCATCAATTTACAGAAAGTGCAAACATTCTTCACTGCTACTTCAAAATGACCTTTTGTCACTTGCTTTTTAGTTTTTTCATTGTTTTTGGATTTGGGTATTATTAGGAAATGATTTAAATTCTTTGGATATATCTGGCTCTGGATAAATGGCCTCATCTACTGATGAGATGAGTCATGATTCCTCATGACTTCATTGATTTTCTGGTTTGTGGCCAACTTTAGTCTTCTACAAGCAAACAATCCAAACGATATCTCCTTTTGACTGATTTCCACCAATGCTTTTTATGGTTTATTTACAACTCTCTCAGCAGTAAGGACATAGATTGTTTTTTTCCTGTTTTTTTTTTTTTTTTGTTGTTGTTTTGGTTTGGTTTGGTTTGTTTTTTGTTTTCTTGAAAATAAAAATAAAATAAATAAAGATGAGATGTGTTTGATTTTTTTTTTTTGTCTTAGGAGCAGTAGCCAGTACAGAAGTGAAGCAAAAACTTCAGGAGTTCCTGTTAAGTAAATCAGCAACGAAAGACTCTCCAGCAAATGGAAAGAATCATTCCGTGAGCCGCCACCCCAAGCTCTGGTACACGTATGTTCAGTGTTCAGCTGTTTCCTTGCCTTATCGAGGTAGCTCCTAACAGTAGACACAATGCTTCTTCAGTGGGGATGTTGAGAGTCTAACTCCAGAACAAGATGGAAGAACAAGCAAGAAGTCAGCAAAATATATATATATGATATATATGTGTAATATATCTAGCTGAGCTGAAGAGTACTTGGTAGACAGTAATGACATGAGAGGTATACAGAGCAGACTGGTGTCTGAAATTTATATAAACCTTTTATTCCAACTGCTTAATCTCTTGATGCCATCACAAATTTTCCAACTACACTTGCCATTTTTCCAAGTCTCTTCAGTTTTTACACATAGAACAGTTTGTGCTTGACTTACTCGGATTTTGAATCAATCACAGCTTGTTTCTTCTTGAAGAGATCCTGTTTTCCAGTGAAGTTATTTATATCCTGTAAGTAAATCACAAATATAATGGATCTTTTAACTTTTTTTTACTGTGATAGAGTAAGAAACCTCTGATTCAAAACAACATTCTGATGATGGCTTGACATTGATAAGAATATGCTTAGGCCACTGAGACAAGTGATTTTTTCAGATTCTGTTATAGATATATTACTGTTCCAAGAGCTTACAGTGATTACTCCCCCTTTTTTTTTCTTTATTTTTAACTAATTAATATATTTTTAATCTCTTTATTACAACAGACACGTTTTTAAAAGTTAATTAAAAAAAAAAAAAAAAAAAAAAGGAAGAAAAGAACTTCGGATGCATTTCTAAAAGAATTTCAATATTATCCCCAAACTAATCTTTACAGGTCAGACAAACAGAAATGCATATGGTACACTAGATTTTAACCTAGTACTTGTTCTTTTTAAAAAGCATTACTGAAGCGCTTTCATCTGAGCTTCTCCTTTAGCTAATCAGAGCACTGTGATAACATGATTTAATACACAATTACATTGTTTCTTCTAGAAGTAAATAATTTCCAAATGATGTGTAAAATTCTCTTGAGTACGCATGAGTTATGAACTAGTGGTCTGAACTTATTCTGGTCTTCAGATGTATGAGAATTATGCGTTCTACAGGGAGATGTCTTCTGCTACATGAGGGAAACTTTCATGTTAGTGCTTCTCTTTGACAAAAAACATAGCATCACATGATTAAACATTTAAAAGAAAGGGAGAGGCTCTGTAAGTAAAATTATGTTTAGACAAGCACAAAGTACAAAAGTTTCCGTCTTTTCCCCTCTCCTCCTCTAAACAAAAATATCAACCAAACAAAAAAAACCTGTCATTGAGCCAAACGATGCAATTGCTTTGCAATGTACTATTTACATGTTCAGAAAAATCTGCCCATACTCTTTCCTTCATTCAGCATTTGTCAGAAAGTGCTCTTCAGTTTAGAACTCCTCTGCTGAAGTGTTATGTTCTGCAGAGTTGTATCCCCAGAAAACTTATAAAATGAACTTGAATGCAAGTTTTAACTTCCCTGTCTAAATGGTTTACATTTTTTTCAAGAGATAGTAATATCTCAATATTTTTGATTCATTTCATATAACACCACCACCATCCCACCCCACAGAAGTCCCCCTGTCTTTTTGTTGGAAAAGGCTGGGTCAATGTATATCTATTTGTACGTAATAAACAGGACTTTAAATGGCTTTTGCTGTGCCTCAGCTGGTTCACATTAAAATACAACAATCTGAAATGGTCAGTTTTCCAAACTGGTGACAGATCCTGTCTGTAGGTCAACATGACTCTTATCCTATGTGACTTTTATAATGAGTGCAAATAGTACATTCTTGGGAATCCCAAGGAGTTCCATAACTTACTGTAAAAGTAAGAAATTTGTTACATGAGCCTGTGGTTTGTGCACACTTAGAGGAGCAAGAACATAAACACAGCTGAGACATGTGTACAACACGTGTAGATAGTTACTGCTGGTCACCTCAGTGCCTGCTAATTTGTGACCTCTCTGTGTCTGCTGCAGGGCTGCCCACCATACCTCACTGGATCAAAGCTCTCCACCCCTGAGTGGGGCCTCGCCGCCATACAAATACACTTTACCAGGATCACAGGATGCCAAGGATGATTTTCCACTCCGTAAAACAGGTGAGTTAGAGTAGTTCATTCAATCCCCTTACTGAGATTTCTTTCACCCTTTATTTTAACCAGGTTGTCCACCAACAAGGCATGTATCATAATCTGCAAAGTCTGTTCAGGATGTTACTAAGAGTAAGCTCAAAGATCCTGACTGTATCTTTACAAGGTTGGCTTGACCACATAGTATCAAGAGTCATTATTTCCCACTCCTAACAGCTTGGGCAAGCTTCAGTCCTGACGAACTTAGTTTCTAAACAAACTGTAATTTCATGGATCTTTTGTGGTATTGTCTTTATCTCAGTATTACTTCTGAGTTTAATAGCTCTCGCTCTCTCTTTTGCATGGTAGATATAGTATCTACTTCAGATGATATGCTGCCTGAAGGCACTTTTTTTCAGGATGCTGTGAAGAGAATTCATGAAAAGAGAAAAAATTGGATTAATGTTGAATTTTGTGACCTTGGTTGAAAAAGGCTATATGCATATCTCTATGAATGTGCATACATGCATATGTTTGCATATGCTTTTTACTCACGAGAATGTCAAATTTACAATAAAATGTTCATTTGAACATTTCAGAATATTTCAGAGGGTTTAGCAAATAAACCTTTTTTTCTTGATAGCAGGTGAACTGTAGACTTGTCTTTTTCTGCACCATAAAGCTAGAAGGATGATGGTGGAGTCCATGTGGCTGTTACCTAAGGTCTTTGGTGCAGTGACCGGTATCCAGGAATGCAGGGAGACACTAGGAGAGGAAAAAAGAAAAAGAAAAGAAAACATTAGGTCTCTTATTGCATGAGTCTGCTGTTGAGTGATATAGTTACATTCAGAGGGAAAGTCTGACCCCCTACTGTGCTAACAGCCTTTGAATGTAATTTAGCCACTGGGAGATTGAAAACTAAGTGCAAAACTGGTACTGACTTGAAAAGAAGTGGCATTTGGAAGCACTATACATTCTGAAAGAAAATCCAGTCTGCATCTAATACTTTAGAGTAGATTCTCTAAGCACGTATTATGTCCCCAAATATTTTTGAAAGAATGGAAAGCAAAATGCTGATTTATTCTGTCTGAATTATTCAAAATGATCATTGAAAAATATGGTGGCAGTATAACAAGATTCCATGAAATCTTGCTCAGGCTGTTCAGTTGCAATAAACCTGTACTTGGTTCTCTTCTTAATTCCACTGTACAACATACATTTCCCGTGCCATTAGGCTATACATTTTCATTTTTTAAACGAAAGAATACATTCTACATCTTCTAAATGCTATGAATTTATCTAAGTTTCTGAAAGCAAGTTTTAATTTTTCTTCCACGTTTATGTATCTTAAATGTTATGATTGATATTTATGATGTGTCAGACTGTTGATCTGTAAAACAAAACATTTTCAAACACTGTAATAGTAAAGTTCTCGTGCAGCTGCTAATACTTTTATATCTCTGTGGGGGTTTCAAAATATTCCTTAATTCAATTCCCATTGTCTGCATAAGAGGACTATAATATAATTAAATCCAGATGTTTTCTATATGTTATTCCAAATATTTGGGCATGCAATGCATCAGTTACAAAGCTGGACAAAGGACATGATGACTCTCTGAAAAGATATCTGCAGAACGTATAGACAAATACTAATATAATCATTAACATGACTGCTTTTATGAAATTTACATAGTGATTCTGATAAGCATATAGAAATGAAGTGTAAAGCACGTTGTGTTAGCAAGGGAGCGTACTCAATAGCTCTCTGCATCCATGAAAATAGCAACTGTTAAATATCCTGTTTACATGTTCAGTCTCTGCCTGTCCTGGATTTGTAATTCCAGCCTTCAGCTACATCCCATCCCCACAAAGGTTCCAATGAATGCTCATCAGGTTGAGAGTAAAAGCAACAGGAACCAGACTGACACAAGTCAAATGACCCTAAACTTATCTGAGTGGTAATAGGGCCATCCTCCAGGCAGAGGGGACATTGTGGAGCCGGTGTCATCCTCAAGGGACAAATCTAGACAAAGATGTCCCACGAACACTCATATCTATGGGCAAGCCATAAGCCTGCAGAAATCTGACCTTTGCCATGAGGGGTGAACCTCTTTTCCTTTCCTTAGGGCTATGAACGCTTATTGCCACTGGCTCCTGGTAAACTTTCTGTGCTGCTGAACCTGCATGAAGTCAGCAATTCATATGAAAGTGAATCTTACATTCCTTTCAGCCTCCAGAAGGGAATACCTTTTATAGGCTTTAATCACAGTTTTGGTTTGCTTCTCAATTTTATTTGCCGTAAGCATAATATGGAATACAGAGGTATCTTTCATTTCAGCTTTAGTGTAATGCTCATTAAAGACAATTCTGGTTCAATCTGTTACTCTAAGATCAGATTTAATGTGAAGCAAAAAGTGTGATTCCCTCATGGTGTCCTGATATGTTCTTCCCTACCAGAGAACACTGAGCGTTACACAGGCATTGCAAGTCCTGAGACCTTCTTGCTTACTTTCTCAGTAATCTATATAGCCCAGTCCTGATGTATCATCTCCTTGTTAAACTTTTAAAAATGAATGTGGATGGACTATGGCTAAGGAGAAAATATTCTGTCTAATTTTTATTCTTCTGACATCTGGCTACATAGGTAACTAGGGTAGTGCTTAACAGCTGTGCTGTCTGTATGCTTACAGTGAGGTACCAGACTTAGTGTACCAGTGCACTGGCTGTAATTATTCAGTACCTCTCAGGCATGTGGATTATTCCTTCCCTTACAAGATGCAGCAGAACTTGCTAGCAGTAGGCTTTGTGCAGTTTAGCTGCATGGAGGATTGGGACTGTCCTAGGGGCTAGAGGCCAGGAGATGCAGCTCTTTGCACAGCTGCATTCAGATGCTGTGTGTTGACAGACTTTCAAAAAGAGCAGAGCAAGGGGAGTTATTGCTTCACTGGACAGCTAAATATACCATAAGGAGAAGCTATACATCTGTAGCTGAGATTAGAATTTGGCCGAAATAGACTAAGAGCAAATTTTAAAAGTGCCCAAGATTTCACCATGGATACCTGTTGTAATGTGTGAGCTTTCTGAAAACACCCAAAAGTCTTGAGCAGCACATGGCTCATTAACTTCCAATGATACTAATGTGTCTAAATTGCCCGGAGAGGTTTGAAAATTCCTCCCCATTACTAAACACTTTTGAAATTCATACTGACTGCTGTAAGAGCTCTGATGGGAGCTGTGCACTTTTTAAAACATGATCATTTAATATGGAGAACTTTTGATTGCTGATCTCCATAATTCAGTGGTCTATTGATCTGGGAAAATATTATCTGTTTGAAGAGATTGCTGTAAAGCTGACAGAAGTGTAGCAAGTCACATGGGTTTGATAGGCAAAAGGTTCTCAAGGAAAGCTTTTCCTTTTTCTTTTTTTTTTTTTCCACTTTGTTAAAATGAACACAGAAATTCTGGCAACTGCCCATAATGTTTGCATTGTCTTCACTCTGTAGCATTTCATTTTCTGTGTGAGGTGTTGCTGCAGAGCTCTCTAAATATCTCAAAGATATGTGCTTTTCAAAAATATTCCTAGTGGTGGAATTTCTACATTTTGCTTCATGCTTTGAGTTTTGAAGAGATTTCTGGGATTATCAGCATATCAAGTATAAAGTGTTTTTTCTTTCATGAATTTAGCACAGTCATTGCAGAATGGGAATGTCAATCCCAAACCAATTTATTTTGGTTTTATGCCAGATTAATCTTTCTTTGCTCATGGACTTTATAAGCTTACAGTTTGCATTTTTGCTTAGATATATGAGCATCACTCACAGTAGCACTATTTAAGAAGATGTTTGTGACTTGCTTACCAGAAACTGGAAATATGTTCAATGGAAATGTAACACAGTTTTTTTTTCTTAAGTAGCAGATAGTACAAAGTTTTAGTTTGCAAGGGGGAAATTGTGTAATTTCACACAGGAAAAAAAGAGGAGATGAAGGATAGTTTAATGTTGTGATGAAAGAAAGGAAGGAGGCTGTACTGCATAGTCATGAAAACAACTTTGTAAAAATGACATTATGTTAACCTGATTAGGCAGTAGAATAACAGCATAGCTCTCGTGTAATTAGAGTGAAAGATTCCTGAATAAGAACTCAGTAGATGCAATTTTTTAAAAAAAATTAATTTGAACATTAATTTGAACATCATTCTTTCTGCACTTAGTGACTCAGTAATTTGCTGGAGTGGTTGAAACTGAGAAGAAAAACATTTTGTGTGTGAAAGTTTTTTTCCCTTTCCCTTTCATGTCACCAAATTCCATTTCTGTTTGCATTTTCTAGGAAAAATTCTCTTGTGAAGTAATAGTATATGAAAAAGCTGGATTTCTTTTGGTCTTCAGTGAAAAAAAGAAAGGCTTAGAGAATCACAAACCCTCAATTATTGTGTCTGCCAAAATGAAGAAGTCAGTCTCAGTAGAGAGTCATTATTTTTCTCTTTGTTTGTGAGCAAGCACAGCGAATGGGAGAGGCACTTTGCTTATTGAGGCAGGGAAAGAAGGCAAATTTTTTTCTTTTTTTTTTCTTTTTTTTTTTTTTTTCTGATTTTATCCTGTTTTTCAGAGATACTAAACATTCCTGCCTCCTAAACAGTCTTGTTAAATTCAGACTAGGTGATTTGACTGAAGAAAGTCACCAGCACTTACTGCAGAACAGGAAAATAGAAAGACATATCCTCCTTTCCAGCCCTTCTTTTATGATTTCTGTTCCCATATAGTCATCAGACTTCTGTAGCCTTCCAAAGTTCATTATCAGTACATAGAGAGAGCGTAAGAGTGAGTCTGAAGAAACTGTTGCTAACAGCTTTTTCCAGATACAGTATCTGGAAACCACCAGCTCTTGGGAAGTGTAACACCACTGTAACCACCATGCCATGCTATAGCCATCCCAAGTCTGACTGCATTCTGTAACTTCCTACGGGGTGCACAGGAAGCAGTGCCATGTCACTCTAATTCCAGCTACGTGGAAAATATTCTGAGGCACATTAA